AGCCCAAAGGCCACACTTCTATATAAAAATAAATATAAACCTGTTGATTGAAAAAGACAATGCTTACTCTTCCACATAGGAGCAGTACTGCAAGCTAATTTCATCTGTTTTGTCACTAACACACGTTTTTAAAATTTGATTTCTGCGTTCCTGTATAGGGACATCTAAGTTAGCTGCTAATACGTGTGAGGATTTTTTTCCTTTTTTAACCCAGTCTATTAGGAGCAGTCTGAAAAGCCCATAAGCAAACGGGGGCCTGCGAGGCACACATTGCAAACCACACAACTGTAAGTGATGCAGAATCAGAGCAAGAGAGAAAGGAAAAGGGTTCCTCAGCAAAGAAGCGTTACAGCTGAGCTGCTTGTCTTCAGTATGAAATTCAGAGCAGCTCCAACCAGTTTTCAGTTTCTGTGCAAGTCTTGAGAAAGAGGGTTGGTCGGTGCTGGTCATTACCAGTCATCACAGACAGACTGCTGCACACACTTCCAGGAACACGTAATAGCGCTCAAGACATCATTCCCCTGCAAGAAGGGTATCGTAAGATTCCGTTCTCCTTTCTCTTCTAATCACCACGCAATTAGCCGAGGAATCCAGCTGACATAGTGGATTTTGCTCTGAGCTACTGTTTCTGAGGGGAACTCAAGCTTCGCCAGCGGAAAACATGCTTCAGTCTACTGGACAAATAGTTACCTCCTAAGGCTGAATTGTACTCGCCCTGCTAGTTGGGCTTGTTACAGTGCTGTGGCCCCAAAGACTACTCACGCAAAGGCATTTTTGAAGCTCTCAAGAAGAATGACTCTTCTGAGCTTTAATTTTTAAACCCCCTATACTTATCATCTGCTTTCTAGGCTGCTGGCAGACAAGCTTGTATAAACTTGTTATGCTTCAGTAATCTCTCCATTCATAGCAGACAGAAATGGTTACAGCACAGGGGAAGCAACTAGAGAATGGGTTGACAATTCTGCTTCTCTGAGTCTTGCCCGGACCCAATTATTTTCTTTTCTTTTCCTCCCTTTTCCCAAATCAGGATAAAATGTTTTATTTTGCCTTTTCATTCCCCCACAAAATCACAGGAAATTCAGTGACTAGATCAACATTTCAATCTCATCATTGGAGTTATTAATGAAATACTGCTTTTTTTTTTTTTTTTTTCCTTTTTCAAAATTGGAGCTGCTTTTTACATAAATCTGCCCTTGAAGGGAATTATGTTAGAATGCTTTGGCAACCACATTTGTTGTAAATAGATCACTCTGTATTTTCCTCACTGTATGTTTTCCAAACCTGTATTTTAAAGAACTATGCTGTAACGTTAGCATCTGTATGGCAGATGACACTGGAGTCATGGCATAAATAGTAAAATAATAACTTGTTTTCTTTTCTAATTTCAGGGAGAAGATGGCATACTTCACAAGAGCAAAGATCAGTATACCAGCCCTTCCAGCTGATGATGTATAATTGTGCATTTTCATTGAAGTGTTTTTCCACTTGCTCATCTCTTTTCAGATGAACTTTGTAGTTCCAGTGGCCTGCTTTTAAAGATCTTCTATTTTGCATTCACTATTGATATGTTTATTTGTAAAATATAGTGAATTGAATTGTTTTATGCTTAAAAAAAAGGCAAAAAACCCAAACAACCGGAAAACCAAAGTAGATTAATTTTGGTATACTGATTTTGTACAGTTTGTATGTATTGCATGTGTTTTTATTTTGTAAAGATGGAACAAAGGAACAAAGGCAGTACTGAGCATGTATCCTGTTGAACCGCACTGTGTTGAGAAATACGACGTTCAACAGAAGCTTGTTTATCTTTTCACTGTTTTCATGTGAGCAGACTGTGAAGATGGCTGTTTTGCCATGCAATATTTTTGTACAAGAGTGTGACTTTTATAGTTTAAAGTTAACCACAAGCGTAAGCTCCCTTCCAAAACATCGAGGCTGCCTCACAACAGCTGCTAATTAGATTCGTCACCCCCATTGGCATTTTGTTTCTGAAAACAAATTTCTTCTGGTTTTGTTTTTTAATACTTTGTAGGAAGAGACAGAGTTCAGAGTTTAGTTTTGTGAATGTACAGTACTTTAACCTGCACTAAAAGGTTTCTTGCATCTGCGGGAGAGTGGGCAAGGCAAGGCAAGGCAGACAAGTAACCCTAAAAACTTATTACGAGACTACCAAAAGGGGCAGCTGCTTTCTGAACTGGAAGCTGAATGAAATTCATACCAACATTGAAATCGGAATAGTTATATCCACTGTACGCTTAATAATTAGAGTTTCTCGATGTTAATCTCTTGTCCTAGAGGCTGTCTTATTGCCAACTAGGATTATGTAAAAGTGTTTGCTGAGTTTACAAATATGAAGATGTTTTCATTAAAGTATTTGTACCAGGAGAAAAACCTGTTGCATAGTAACTCAAATATCAGAAATCTTGTTAGTGAGGTAAACCCTTTCTGAAAAGGAAGAGTTCCTGACTAGAAGCCTTCACATATTTCAGTATGTGAAATACAGTACAATTCAGTACAATAAATAACATTTTTAAAAATACACAGTTGACCCTGTATGCATAACCTATGAGGGTGCACAGGTTTAATAAATAGATGTTCAAATTTCTCTTACATGAAGTAGTCTGCTAGGAAGAAGCATCAGCTTGGGTTCATTCTGTAAAAAGTCCAGAACATGAGATGTAGGTGTTGAAGCAGCCCTGTCTTGGTAAAGCAGTTGGGGTCTTATCTTCTGTGGGTCCTCTGTAAGTAGGTGGACGTTGTAGCTAACAGAATTATTTCATTTTCTACTTAATATGTTGCACTCAGATGTATTTAATTCACTGGCTAACGTTTTCTTCCCCAGACAACAAGCCACATACGCACGGACTTCATCTTTCAAAAAGGCTATAATTACTTGGTGAGAAAATGGAAGCAAATATAACCACAGGATGGTAGCAGCTGTCTCAAATTCAAAGTGACAGTTCTGTGATGAGAGGTCTGTGTAACACCCAAGGGTTTTCTTCTGTGCAAATACATCAGTTCGCTTAAATGTATAACCAAACATGCTATTTTGGGCAAGATGACCGATTTGAACATCCTTTATGAGCGCCCCATTTGTTTCTTGGGTTTGAGAATAACATTCATGTCCGAAAGGTCAATTTTAAAAAAAACAAATCTGGAATTATTTAATGTAGAGGTGAAATGAAGGTTGACAGTTTCAACTTCTCAATTTGATTATATAAGTTGTTTGTAGAATGATGTTTAGAGGTGTACTTTATGATTTTTCTTTTATTTATTTACAGTCTTATTTATGTTCTGTTTAATATAGTTCAGTTCTGGCCATAAAAATATTTGACGTTGAGGATGCTATTGTGAAAAATATTTAGAGCTGTCTAAATTCTTGCCAGATTAGCCGTTTCTCCTCACATGTTTTGAATAATTTTCCAAAAAAGTATTATTGTCTGATGTGTAAGCATGAGGTGAGGTCAAAATTAAAGTATTGCTGACTTTAGCTTCCAAAACTCATTTAAAAATGAGAGACTTAAGCATATTTGTGCTCCTCATTTTCCAAATTGGTAAAGTTGAACATATTTATAGGCAGCTTTTAACAATTCTGGGTTTGGAGTTTTGGGGGTTTTTTTACTAGTTCAGATTATTCACACTTGAAACACTCAATAGAATAAGCTAAAATAATACATATACCAATAAAACCCCATCAGTTAAAAATTGTCAATATTACTCTTGAAGTGGAATTTACTCTGCACAGCAGGGTGTAACGAATGTAATTAGTTCTATTACCAGGTACCAATGTCACTGCAGTTGCATATATCAAAATCTAAGTATTACTGGTACAAGAATATTTAGCCAAATGAGCAAAGTTTAGCAGAAATTGTAATAGAACATAAATCATTTTAAGATTTTTTTTTTTTTTTACTATTGCTATGTTTATACTGTATTAAATATCAGATGCTCAGGACTGAACTAAATATTTAATCAGGTTATATTCTGAATGTGTTTCTGTTCTAATTTTGTCTGTAAGAGTATGCAAATACACCACATAGATTAACTTGTCTCTGCACTTTCCATGTGTTTCAGTGATTGGAAAATACATTTCTTTTTTTTTAACAAAGCTCTTTTCCAGACCAGTGGTTTATTTAATTCTTTTATTGCTGTTCTACGTCTTTATATTCTCTTTGCAGAAACAGATGGCTGCTACAGCTTTGTCGATGTAAAATCATTGCAATTTATAGAAAGTTCACATCAATCACTGCCAAGTCTTAGGATAAGTTATATAGAAAGTGATTCATATACTTGAAGCTAGTTCTTTACATTCATTAAGTAAAAACTGCAATAGCAATGAACATGGTCAGCTCTGCACTGGACAACATCTCATTATTAGTCAGAAATATTGGCTTTCCTTAGAGAGAGATTGTGCAGGGATGCATTCAGTCACATATTCACACACACACACTGGAGAGAATCTTCTATTACATGACATAATGTCTGAGAACATTTAGTTTCCACTAGTGTAAATGATACGGGTCCAGGGAACTTCATTCAAGGTTGTATTGTATTAGGTTTTTGTAATGAACTGACACTACAAACCATTTCAGGACTTAAACTAGTATTATTTCTGTAAAAAAGACATTGTTTAAAGCAGCCTCAGTAGGAGTTCTGCCATTTAAAAGATGGTCAACTCTTCATTAAAAATTTTATACTAGCTTATCCTAAAAAAAACCAAAAAACAACACAACCAACAAAACAACAAACCACACAACACACCAAAACCTAGAAAAACAAAATCTGCAATTGATCAGATTTTGGAGAAATACAGTGGTGACTTAGATCTCCATAACTCATCAATTAATGTAATTAAAATTGAAGGCAGGTAGCAATTAAAGGAACTATTTAGTAAGAAACAATCCCTCCCCCGATCTTGTAAACAGTAACCTGTCTGTTCAGAAGAGCTGTCTTACTGTAATGCAAGAGTAAGAAATCTGAAAACCTGATATCTACCCTTTTTAAAGTCTTCTATTCCCAATTTCCAGATGTTGATGGGTGTCTTGCATATCTGCCATTGCATACTGCTCTGGTAAGTGATGGTCAGATGACAAGAAGAGCGTGGAGAGGAGTAGAGATCCTCCTAGAATTATAAAAAATCCACCAAACCAACCACTGAACAGTGCATCCCCCAGTTCCCATCTGGGCACAATCTCTGGGATGTCTTCATCCCAAAATTCCTGGATTATCGTATGGGCAACCCAAGAAACAGGGACTAAGGCCAGAATTCCAGCCATCCACAAGAGTATTCCTCCAAGGAGTAGCAGCTGTCTCTTTAGCTTCTGGTCTATATCCTCCATCTTTAGGCAGTCCAAACCAAGACTAGAGATCACAAGGCTCAGAAGTCCTAGTCCATTTGATGTAGATACTAAAATCCTGGAAATCTTGAATTCCAGAGGCAAAGCTAGGAAAGAATCAAAGTCTTTACACTGTGTTCCTCCTACATCTTGGACTATACAGGTTTGCCAGAGTCCCATGGTCCAAAGCTCCAGTATGTTTAAGTCTAAGTTGCGATTTTTCCAGTCTGGTAAATAGTTACAGGTACCAGTTAAAATCCATCCTAGTACAGACAGCACAAATCCAACTAACTGCAGCCTGTGTCTGTGGACCAAGTTCATTTTTAGCCGTCGCAAAAACGCTAAACTGCTCACTTTTGCAGACACCGTGTCGCTCAATCCTTTGTCATACTGAACATAAGCAAAAGTTAAAACAATGCTTTTTATAAAGCATGACGTACTCCTCCCCCCCCTGGTTCCATGTGCAGTTTTTTGGGGATTGAGACATACTGTGCTAAACCAGTAGCTGAAGGGTGTGGCTACAGCTGGGCCCACCTTTCATTAGTTCAGGGTTTGTTTTTTTAAGAAAAGCGTATACTTTGCTTTCCATCAATCTGCTAAAGCATTACAGCACTTCTGCTACTTTTGGCATCTCACGGTTTGTTTTTAAGTTTTAATACCGCATTGATACGCTTCTACTTACAGCACGTGAAGCTGTCTGCTTTGGGGCCAGTTTTTGTTTGAAGTCAGAGGTTCCACGTTCAGAGCAAGGTGTTGCTGTAAGTGAATGGAGCTTAAGGGGCCTTTGATAGGATGCATAATGCCTCACTACCTGAAGACAGTGTAAGTATTTTTTTTAAAGCAGCGTTTCTCAGCCTGTTTTTGGTGCATAAAGGGTGCATGCAGGTGCCAGAAATGCTTAGAGTAAGCTGTGCATACAAGTTAACGTGCTGGACTGGGAAAACGCAACTTCTTGGGTATGAAGCACCCACCCCGTAGCACCCCATGCACAGAAAGACATCTGCAAGGCTTGCTAGAATTTCAGAAATCTACAGTTTTCTTAGCAGAACAATTCCCAAGTACACAGAAAACCAATTTGATGCAATGCATGTATTTAGACTGTTTAGGATGTGAAAACTCTCAAGTTTGTTGGTCACTGCATTAGGCAAGTGGAAAATTGCAACAGGGAGTCAAGCTTTGAGGCTCATTTAATGGGTTACATATGAAAAGGAGCATACTTTGGTTAAAAGCCAAGCTGTAAGGGAACACGCATATTCAGTTTCAGGATTTTACAGTGCAGTTGAGAAAGCAAAAGCACCTTTTCTGCTCAGTCTATGAAAACTTCAGCATTCTGCTGTGAAACAAAGTTTTAAACAGTTCTGCAGGTGAGAAAACACACCACCTTCCAATACCAGTTATGGAGAAACAGACATAAGTTTAGGAAATCAGCTAGGTAACAAAGAGTCCTTTGAATGACTACTGGAACAAGCGTCTGGCTTGCACTAGGGTTTGAAAAAGATAGGGCAGTCTTTCTGCACTGCTTAAAGCCTTCCATTTTAAGGCCTCGTTTCAGTTTCCAAGTGTTGACACTGATCTTGCTGTTCTGCAACTGCGTAATGGACCGAAGATGGATGGACTTCAGTTGAACAGATGATTGTGCAATTAAGTAGGGTTCCTCCTAATATAAGACAAAATCCAGCAAGCCAGCCAACAAATAACGCTTCCCCAAAATCCCACCTGGGAACAATATCAGGTATATTCTCATCCCAAAATTCCTGGACTGTGGAATGGGCAACCCAAGAAACGGGGACAATAGCTGTAATCCCCGATATCCAGAAGAGCATTCCTCCAAACAGCAACAGCCGTTTCTTTTGTTCCTGTTGTCTTTCACCAATTTTCAAACAGTCCAACCCAAATCCTGAGAGCAAGAGGCCCAAAAGCCCCGATCCATTGGAAAAGAACATCAAAATCCTAGAAATCCTGAGCTCTGGAGGCAAAGCAAGGAAAGAGTCGAAGTCCTTGCACTGCATTCCCCCTTCCTCCTGGACAACACAAGCTTGCCAGAGTCCCATGGTCCAGATCTCCAGTTCGTTCAGTTCCAAGTTCAGGTTTTTCCACTGGGGTAAGTAGGTGGTGAGGCAGGACAGGACCCATCCCAACAGCGATAACAGTATCCCGCTTAACTGCATCGTGGGGCGGTAGACCAAGGCCATGATAAGAGCAGAGCCCTACAAGCGCGAGGAGGAAGGGCTCCCCAGCAGTTCTGCAACAACTGCTGCCTTGAGTGATGGTGGAAGCTATGATGATTTTAGTTCTCTGCTGCCCCGAATATAAGCCCTTGCTGTTAACCCTTTGTGGGCTCTGAAACACTTTTTTGTTCTTCACGAATATAAAGTTTCACATAAAGGACGAAGGACTTCACTAAACCATGAGTTAGGCTTTCCGATAAGGATTTGATCTGTTACCTTCCAATTTGCTTGGTAAAATTATATCCCAATGCCTGATGATTACAAGCCTGAGGATGAACAAAGAGGGCTCTATGACCCCTCACCCTAAAACACAACAGAAATCTTTGTGCTTCAATACGGATTAATTAGATTTTAAGTGGTGATAAAAAGTCAGCTCTGTGTGCAACAGGACTTCATTGTAATAGCTAAATTTGAGATTCAGGGATGTAAATCAAGGCCTTGTAAAGAAAGGTAGACTGTTTGCCTATAATCTTTATTCTTAGACTTCCTCAACATACAGAATGGCTTACCTTCCACTGCCCTGTTTTATGTCCCCAGCACTGTAAAAGACGCTTTGTAAAAGATCCTTACGTTTCACATTCTCTACATTCATTTCTTTTAAAACGGGCTTTGTTTTGACTGACTCTTAAGGGAAAAAGGAGACGGGTATGGTGAAAGTACCGTAGAAAATGAAATCCTAGACATCCCTCCACCATAATGAACCCAGGCAGCTCATCAGCCAGCATAAACTTTACCTGCCCCAGGACTTCAGCAACACCATGGTAGCAGCTTACACCAGCTCAGAGTGTCCCCTTTCCTCGAGCCCATGTCCCAGATGGCACAGAGTGTATACGCTTAGTGTCTAACAACATTTGGCACTCAGTGCTCCCCAGGCCAG